TTCGGGGAAAGTTTACGGTGTGCCCAACTGGCGGAGATGGAGATCCCTCGCAAAGCCAATGCCTGCCAGATAAACTGCAGTTTTTATCGGTTACACCGTCAGAGGCCAGGATGTAATTTAATACCTTTGCAATTCGGAATGGCTGAAAGAGATTCCTGCGTATATGGCAGTAGCGGAAAGAAAATATTTTATGTTTATTGTACAATTGTACAAGGCATAGATATTTAAGCGTAGACACCATGGTGGCATCTTTTGAAATATTTTAAAACTACTTTGATCTTGTACTGTCCACGGTTCTAAGCTTGTGCGGACTAATCTAAATGCGGTCAGAAAATGTGGCCGCAAATATAGCCGCAAAAATACAGGGGAAATCTTGACAAAAGACATCTTCGGCAAATTTCAGATAGGTCTTTTTAGTAATGTGCAAAGCATAGATGGTTATTTTACCACTTTAAAGCAATTAGCGATCGGTTTGACGAAGTTCGTCATAGGCAAACAAGCATCCTCTTGTCTTTCTGTGCCTCCTGCCGTTGAAGTGGTTTTTATGCCAGTGGATACGGCTTAGTCGCCGAGGTTGATCAGCAAGCTTTCGTCGTCGGCAGAGCTCCGAATTACACTCCATTTTTTCATGTTGTCGGTAGACTGCTTTATTTTAGGACAGGTTTCTTATGCAATCCTTCACAGCAACGAGATGAGCCCAAGCACTGAACTCTGGTGAACGCCAATTTCGTCCGGCGGACGTCAATGAAATCTTGGGGTGGCGTACTTACTCTTGCGAGAATGGGTCCAGTTATAGAGATATTGCAGCCCACGTTGGCAGTTCGATTGCCAGCGATGAGCTCCTAGGACTTTTATCAGTTTGCTCTTCATGGAACAGTTCATGACCTTGCCGGGAATAGTGATCACGTTTTTGGGTTTGAGATTTGTCGTCGTAGCCCGAGCACTCAGCCCTGCGGAACACTATTCTGGATTTAATTTCTCTTGACCAGAACAAAAAACCTGGCGCCGACCTAAAATGGCGTTTTCGATCACTTTGATAAATCGAAGTCTAATCTGTATTCTTTGAAGTCCGTCCAGTAGTGAAGCGTGACACACTACTGAAGGCCATTAAAACTTCAGTGAAATCTGTGAGGTCTGCGTGCTTATTCTCGTGAGCTTGGGTCCATTTATGGAGAAATTAGAGCAAACTAATCATGTGGGGTATTTATTTCCGGAGACCATGTCGACAGGGCTAGTGCCGGTGGTGAGAGTTAAGGAATTTTATCAATTTGCCGTTCATGGTACTCTCCATAACTTTGCCAGTCAAGCTTCCGTGCCTGCCGTTTGTCGTCGTTGACTGACCATCGCTGTTGGATAGGGAAATTACGCGTGTCAGCTAGCAATCTACAGGAAGTTATCCAGTGTCAAAGGAACTTTGAATAATGTAAAGTGAGCTCGTCACATCTTCTCTGTTAATCTCGGTTGGCATCTCATAGTGACCTGAAGATTATTTCTGCAAATTCGTCTAATTCTGTTCTAGAAAATTGTCTGAAAATAGGATGCAGTCTATTCATCGAACCAGCATAACCCTCCAAAGTTAGAGATAGAAGTCGTTTTCATTTATCTGAACTATCTGGAAAACTGTGCAACTTTGATTTCCTTCATAGTCTTTGTAAGGGATTCGGCACATTTTTCCGTGCTTCATCTGTCGTATCAGTAGAGTATTTTTGAATTCTCTGTTGCCTTTAGTAGCGAACTATTCCCAAATTCTCAACTCGTTTTACTGACCATGTTTTTTAGCTTTGTCCCTTTCGCCTTTTGATGGTTAAAATTTTCAACTTGCCTAGTTACGCAGTATTCCGTCAACAGATTTTGTCCTTCTGCTGTGCATTTTTCTTTGAGGTCGTTCAATTATTATCGTCTCATTATTCTTTCTTATCAATTCGACGTATATTTTGATCTTTTCAAGATGATGCGTTTATGATTGACTCGTGCATTTTTATTTGCGCTATTATTTAAGATCTTATGAGATAGCCAAAAACACCTACAGTAGGTGGGCTAGCTCCTGAAACATCAACCGAAATTCCTAAATGCGTTTTTGTTTCGAAAATATTAATTAAGTTGGGTTGTAAAACTAGTCCGCCTGCAACATAATTCGATCATATTTCAGTTACCGCAGGATGCCGGCTTTCGAATGAAATTCCTTCCGGCTACGTTCAGCAACGACACTCTATAAAAAAGGGCTACTTTTTTACATTCGGTAGAACATTAGGTCATCTTCCAATCTTCTACTCGAAGAAAGTGTATAATTTGGCTTTAAACTTTTAAAATTCCCGAATAATTGTGAACCCGTTCCACCGTTACGCTTGGATTCGAAGTTTCCAACCTAAAAACCGTATACTTTCCGCGTAAGAGAAACCACACATTTCTCTACGGTACTAAAGGGGACCATATAGGGTTCATCAAATTTGGCAGTGGATTCGATCCATATTGTTAACTTTACGGACCACATTGATAAGTGCAGAGACGTGACGATTTATGAACGGCCATTTCACGGTAGTTAAACGTCCTACAACTAGAAACCTTTTTGAAAACCGAAATATACACTTCCTTAGAGTATAAGGTTGGAAGAAGATGTAATTTTCCACCAAATGAGCAAAAGAATGAATATTTCTATGTATGTTTTTCATGAAGTATAATTGGATATTTAGTGGCATCGAAAATCAATGAGAAAAATTCGTGCTAATAAGGTAGCCATTTTTCAGAGCGTGCAGTTTTTGCACATTGCCGGAGGGAAATTCATTCGAAAGCCGTCATCCTGAGGTAACAGGAATGTTATAGAATTATGTTGCAGACCGACCAGTCTTACAACCCTACTTAATTAATCTTTTCGGAATTTTAGTTGGCCTTTCATGCGTAAGCGCACCTATAGTAAAGCGGTCACCAAGTTAAACACAGAAGAATATTTAATATGATTTATTCCAAAATACGGTCGAGAAAAACATGGAGACATGTGTTGACAATACAGCAGTCCACCAAAATAAATCTCGAAACGCCAAGACGTCAGTTTTCTTACGGAGATCCGGTTTCATCAGAGATGTGGTCTCAGTTAGACGGCAGCTTCAATTCTAATAAAAGGAGCAAATTTATTTGTTTAAAAAGTAATGTAAGGCATGCATTTTGCTTTACACTGGACTAAATGTTGCTTTGGGTAATCACCTGTTCTCTGTAGTGCAAACGTATTCTTAAAGTTTTCTAACTAATGGCCCAACTACGCAGGCTACCTGCTCAATTACATATGTCCAATCATCAACTTGCTGATGTAAGAATATGTGATGAGACAAGTTCGAGTGCACGCCTTCAATTGTGAAGTCTTGAGGCCTGTTCCAAAGTATGTCCGTAGACTTATTATATTTTGACTCTCGCGCCGGAGGATGTGAACCGTGTGCTTCAGAGCAAGGCAAGGCAGGCGCGGGAATTCGCGCGTGAACTCGTTTGTAGTGAGAGCAGTAGACTTGCGGGACGCCTACCCTACTCTATCCTCCCCCATCCCGCCTGGGACCGGTGTTAAGATGTAGTCTACAATAACGTAAGCAGGAGAGAGCGCAGGTGGCCGGATCCACGCCTAGTCGCACCACCACAACCCCGGTCTACAGCAAAAGCTTCACGAGAATTTAAATCAAAGAAAACAACAACAACAACACGGGTCAGAAAGACGACGCGAATGACTCGGCAGCCATGTTCGCATCCTGTACGCTTAGTGGGAATGCGAGTACAGGAAACTGGGTGCCAGGGAAATGCAAACCAGGCTGCGGGAGTCATCGTTTGATCATCCTGGCATGGTAGAAAATAAATATGATTAAGGACTGGATATGAAGATCTGATTTTTATTTGTAGACTGATAGAAACAAAAGGAAAAGTTATCTGCACTCGTTCATAGTCTACAGAGAGCTCCATGATAGACGGAACAATTCTGTTGTGTATATAGATATAATTGAAAATATTACCAACAAACATTTCCACAAGTAATTCAGCGAAAGCATTTTTGGTTTTCCTAAATTCAGTAGATTCCTGGCTGCTGAAATAAACCATCTGATCCTCATTCCTATAGGTATGTTTAACAAGCGTTCCAGTGGAAAATTTGCAAATGTAAAGATCAACAACTAACTACTTTGACAACGTATCAACCTATCAACAAGACATATATTGACGCCGAACAACCGTCTGTCTAAGAAAACCGATGACGGGTTGTCTCATTTTGAAATATTGCGCCGCTTAAGGTCGTCTACAATTACGTCTCCTATTACGGTATCTTTTTCTTACACTAATGCGCCGTCCTCCACTGAATGCCCTTCTACAGGATTCCTCAACCGGTATTGTGCTAACTGCATCTGACAAGACGTTAGTGTCTTGCACCCCCACCACTTTCATGGTATCGTTGTCCATAATACACTAATTTTGCTAAAAAAACCACTTTTGTCCGATTTCGCGCATAAGTTGTACAAGACTTCCGAACCTCATACTCCGTTTCAGCTCGTATTCCACTCTACTTAAATTACAAAAGTAACTGGCAATATTATGTCAAAATAATGAACTCCTTATCATGGCATTAGCATGGTATCTCATGCTTTTCTTCACAAAATAAAGAGGTCACTTACTTCGGGATGGTGTTGTTACAGTAGTCTGGGCAGCTGGTGCTGAGTAGCCTGGAAACTCGTAGAAGACACTCACAGAAATCTTGTACTTGTGACCGCGGGCTAGTCCGTTGACTGTGTATGTTCCTGTAAACTCGTCATAGTCCACATCATACGTCCTTCCCCCCACCTCCACAACATAGACCTTATTCACCGGACACGTGTTTACTGGTGGTTTCCAAGTTAATTTAACTGCAGTACCACTGATCACCTCAGCCGTCAGGTCTCTCGGCATGTCAGTTCCTTGCAGCAGATGGAAGAAAGATCAGTGTAAATAAATTGGGGTGATTAAGATTTCCTGAGTGGATAATTTAATAAATCTCTCTCTGCTGTTCATAGTTTATGCGGGAAGCGAGACAGTAAGACGAGCAGGTATTTGAAATTTATGATTGCGATTAAAACTAATTTTGCTGCATTCGAAGCTGCTGGAAATACGGTCGGCGTGTATCTTATGTTTTGCCTGCAGTGGGGACCATGATTCCTGCACTTTACGTGCAACTGATGCAGGTTCTGGTTCATGAAAATGCGCCGTTATTGCATAATAGGATACTGCATACAGCACTGAGCCACTCCAAGTGCTTTAATGGGTACGGGCTTACAAATATATCGTCGCCTAATTTGAATTCTTGTTCTTACTAATGTCGGCATTTAACCCAATGACAGAGGGCATACAGGAGTACTGGTTAACGTTTTATTTTTCTTGTGAATTATATTTTCCGATGAACCAATTTTGCAGAGAATGCGATACTGCCCTACGTTGTGATGAAACTCTAACCGTATGGCCTCTAAAAGAATTCAGGAATGTATTCTTATGAGTCCTGCCTTCAGACACAAATTTCCACCATTTCTTCTGACTGAACGGACGTCAGTTTGTTGTTCCTTCTTATTGTACTTTTTATATCCTTAAACCTCGTAGATTCTTACACGGTGAAGAGTAGATAATGATAGCTATATCAGCTAGTCTTAATCTCCAAAGCTTCAATTTCAATTCATCCTACGGGGTGTGGCGATACTCAGAAACAACGAATTGTCTGGCACAATACGGTTAGTTTTTTTTTTAAATTACCGTGTAACCTGCTTTTCAGACGCAAGAGAAACGTATTACTAAAGTCTGAGTCCCTGAAATGGTTTAAGAGTCCCCGGTTCAACAATGAAAGTAGTTTTTAGCGCAGAGAACAAAAAACATTTTGGGTAATGTTGAAGTATTTGTCACAGTAAAAAAGACTGGCATATATTTGAAAGAATGATAACAATTCGGTAAAATGAAGACCAAACCTTTTGCAAAGGTGGTCGCGGTTGCCTGTGCCGGCTTGCCAAAATTCTTGTTTTTGGCATATCTGGCCTCCAATGTCATCGTGTAGTTCGTCGACGGTTTGAGGTGTTCAACTACCATCCAGCCAATCGTGCCGACCAGTAAGCTTCTTTGCTGACCTCCTGAGATGTTGAGCCGATAGTTGTCAATTTTGTGGTTAGTATCCGTGGGGGAATCCCAAATTAACAGTATGGAGTCCGAACTGTATGTGTACAGCCTCATGTCACTTGGTTGATCGTCGCCTTAATGGTCAGTGTAGGCAAATGATGGAGTGTGAATATTCGCAACTAACAGAAGGTAAGCATTAAATTCAGAAAGTCCGGCCCGTTAAGATCATTGTTGCTTCTCAGTTTCCTCAGAAATTAATCGATGGCTTGGATTTGATTAGTCCATTTGAAATTTATAGGCTAAGATCAAGTCTCGTGCAAACTGATCCACTCCAAGTTAGAGAATTATTTCTGGGGGAATTGACAGGTCGCAGTTTCAAAATCGGAGCGTCTCCCATAAAGTTACACGGAAGCCGAACTAAGCCCCTCCGAACCCCTCGCAGCTGTGTCATGCAACGACAGCATATTGGTGAAACACTTGTCAGGACTTTTAGTTAGTACCCTTGTTGTCAAGTGTGGTATATCGTGCTAAATATGATAAATTAGATTAATTAACCAAAGTCTTCGTTAAGAATAGTGTTTTGCTCTTCACGTTTGCCAAGTACATAAGGCTAGAGCAGGAGTCATGTCCAGTGAGTACTCACCTCCCAAAATGACCGTTTTCCATTATCTGACCTGGCTGTTTTGAAGGAAACATAAGAGTGGATTTCCGCCACAACGCAAATTATCAGGTTTTGCAATGTTTTCATCATTTAGGCATCCGGTGTGTAATCTACGTTACAGTTTAGCTATCGATGCAGATGTTATCGCATTAAGGACATCGCCTTTTCAAACATAAAAGAAAATATGATAACATATTTTCGAAGAGTACCCAACACATTGATACAGATAATTGTCTTGATTTATGATGGGTGTGTCGTCAAAAAGTTGTTACCAACACTCAATACTCAAAACGGCAATGCTGAGAAAGCAATACGTAATAGAGAAGTGTTGTAGCAGTCTCAAACATAAAACAAGATATGATTGCAACACATCGTCCTGTCCTCCGATCCATCTCTCGAGCACCTCGATCTGCGTCAGATTCATTCAAAGGAAGAAAGGATTTAGCATTTTCCCAGTCACCAAACAAGTAATATTGGAAACCGTGCAGTATATGAGAAGAAGAAGAAGAAGAGCCAATCACTTCAATATCACGCGCATAACTTCAATCCGCTACTCTCACGTATTATATGAATAAGAACAACCCGTGGTCAGTAACAATACTGCCGCATGCATGGTATGTCACATTGGCTCATCACGCTTCAGGACATTAACTGTATTATTTGACCTTGTTTTACTTATGGGAAACGCGATGCATCGAGTCGCCTGCGAACTTCGTAAGCCTTTGCGAATGGAGAAGGCGCGAACTTATGCACGTGAGTGACGGTGGAATGCATGCGTGTACGTGGACTGTAACCCATGGCTTTCTTCAGTTGAATTAACTTCTTGTCTGGGATACAGACTGCGGTGTTCGTGTTTTATTATGCCCTAATAAATAACCCTTGTTTTCTACGACATTCTTCTACCGACCGTCTTCTTGTGTGTGAAAATCCTAAAAGTATTGAATATGAAACACTGGGGTCCCCTCTACTTGCCCATTAATGTTTTTTCTTCATAGGAATTTTCCTGCAATGTATTTTACGGACATTTATTACTTTGTGCTCAATACATTTATGTCTGTTCGCTGTTGCTACGAAAATGCATAAAATAGTCAGGTGTAATTTATCAGTTCCTGTGTCGCATAAGCAATATTTCGCGCCCACTCTGTGGCCAGATACGGCCAACTGGGCCACATTTCGGATTTGAAATATGTGCAATTCATGCAAATCATTGGGACAGTTGACAGAATTTGTCAGGATTTTTACGTTTTCTGAATTGTCTATGAAATCTTCCATACCTGTTTAAAACAGCTTTACAATAGAGCAGTCAGTATATCGAGGTCATTCTTATGTAACCTACTATTCATTTGCGTTTCCTAACACGCACTGCAGGATATTTCACGCCCTACGTCAAAACAAGTTTAGGCATGCAAATCTTCTAAAACTAAATGAAGATGAATGAGCACTATTGGTGGCTTTTTATACTTGCTAGGAACTTTTCACTACAGTTGCCAATTTACTGCAAATAAGTACCATATAAAATATATATTTTCAAAGATTACCGAATACATATTTACAAATGACTGTCTTAATTAATGATGGGTGTGTGACCGATAAGCTGTTATCAACACTGAAATCTCAAAACGGCAATTCTGTTAGAGGAGTATGCAAAAGGAACTTCAACAGGCTTGAGGAACACAGCAAAAGTGCCACGGAGCTTACCATAGACGCATCCTACGGACAAAAGGAGAACAGCAAGAAAGATGGTGAATTTGGTGGCCGCCATCGGTTGGAGAGAGAGAGAACAGCAGATCGCGCATGTATTTAAAGGGCAAAACGGGATAATATGAATTTGATTGGTTGGCAAACACACACACGCACACCAATATGGAAGGCTAAATTGCGCTTAATATCACGATACAATCTGCTGATAAGGATGACACACTAATGAACGGCCTTGATTTCGAAGGAGTCGCACAAAACAAAATAGGTCCCGGATGATTTTGTTGACCATGTAAAACCATTCAACTACCATGGCGTGATTGACGTCCTGCCTTTTTCTTTTGGGTGGAACCTGCATTTGGAGTCCTGAAATGAAAGCAGGTTGCCTGTAACTAGCCTAGTGAAGGGGTCTCTATGGTCCTAGGCTAGGTTTTATCAATCAACAGAGTTTCCAGGGGTCTTGTTATTCCCACATGTTGATCCAACTTTCCACCCATGGATGGCGGATTAAAGAAGAACTTTTGTCACAAAGATGTTGTTGGGCTTTGGAGACGTTGGCTGGCAGCACACAACGGAGAAGCCAATTAAATTAACCATCTTCTACCCTACAAATTAACCATCTCTCTATCCCCACGTCCTTAACATGGACTTGAAATTAGTCCAAGTAATCTTACGATGAACAGGCTGATGGTAGATAATCAAGTCCTTTTCATCCTAAACGCATTCACATCTCGGTAGCGTTGTTGAAGCGACGATTCATACATCTTCTATGCAGTCGAACGGTATTATAATGCATACCAAACGGCTCTTGCGTTCTAATTCAAGCCTTCTTCTTCCCTTAGCATTCAACCCGAGGGCCATTCGTTTTTCCCAAATTATTCGGGAATCAGAAAGTTTTCTAAAACAGAATGAAACCCTTTCTTCGAATATAAAATTGAAAGAGAATATAATTATCTACCAAATGAGCAAAAGAATGAATATTTTATAAATGTTTCCCATGAATTGTAATTGTTTATTCAAGAGCAGCAAAAATCAATCCGAAACTGCATGCTATATAAGGAGTCAGTTCTTACAGTGTATATTTTGTGCATGAAGTCGGAAAGAAGTTCGCTGGAAAGCCAGCCCCCTGAGGTAACTGAATTATTATAGAATTACGCTGAATGATGATTATTTTCGCAACCCTGCTCAATTAATCCATTTAAAACGAAAATGCATTTTGGAATTATGGTTGAAATTTCACGAGTTAGCTCATCTACTGTACATCTGGCACACTTAGGTGAAGAAGATATTCTCAGGCCTTCTGAAAAAGTCGCTGAGAACCAAGTCATCGTATTCGACAGTTCACCTGACGAGGTTTCTAAACTTAAGTATCAACTGCAGAAATCAGACGCCGATAAATACGAAGCCATCAGGCCATTAAGGGAAGTCTGTAAAAAGTATGCTAAAGATAATTTGTCAGTCAACGAAAACTTAAAAACGCTGAGGACTGCATTCGATGCACTGGAAAAAAGACACATCGGCCTTGTAACCGAAAAAACGACTATGCCAAGAAGCTTACCACTGGACTTTCCATTTCAAATGAACTTGAATCAGTCATCATATATCTGGAAAATGACAAGGAGAATCTGTCAGAACAATTATCACAGAAGACAAATGAGCTAGAATAACGAATTACTGAATTAAAATGTCTGCAGAATGACGCTTCGGCTACAAGGCAAATGAAGTCCGATGCCATTCTCCAACTCGAAGTAGCAAAAGCTCTGAAGTCTACGGACGATTTGCGTGGAAAAAAAGGCAGAAGTAAACAGGAGGCCACACGGAAGCACAATGTTTGGTTGGAAGAGAAACTTAATGAGTTAAATGATAAGCTTCCCTCCATACGGCGAGATAACACTGAGAAACGTCTGGCGCTTGAAGGTGAGCTGTCCATCCAGAAAACGGAATTTGAGAATTCACAGGCAACTCTTCTGAAGTTGGAAGATTTGGTAAAAAATTGATGGAATCGAATGAGGATCATATTGAAAAGTCAAAGCAGAGAATTGTTGAGTTGATAAACTTTGAGCAACTTCATGCAAATAAACTTGGTGCCCAGAAGCGTCCGACCGATTTGTACAAGGAACAAGAGACAGAGGTTGAGAAAAAAGTTAAGCAGACGCAGAAGGACATGGCCTCGATGCAGGAATTGCTAAAAGCTGGACATGAACACGTTCTTTAGTTACAATCTGAAAATGAGGCTCTTTTGAGTGCTTTCGCAGAGGATAAATATGACCTTTTTAAAAAAGCAATACCTTGACACTTGAACTGAATTCTGTCAAAGATATATCTGAAAAGTTTAGGATTCAAGGATTGTCTGAGGACGAATTCCGCAAACTCAATCCACCAGTTGTCTCAACTTTTGCCTCATTAAAGGCGGCTCGGAGCCTGACTGAACTTTATTCAAGTTGCGTGTTAGATTTGAAGGAATAAGATATGCTTAGGTTAGACGAAGAGCGTCGTGAAATGGTCACTCATCTTGAGGAAGGGGGTCATCTTTTACGGTCTCAGCAAGAAAAATTTATCAAGTCGATGTCGCGGGTTGAAAAACTTGAACATGCATTTTCAGTATTGCAGAATGATTTCATGATACCACGGAAAACTGTGGAGATCACAAACGCCCTTCCGTCTATTTACAACGTCAAAATATGACGTTAAAACAGACTTGCCGATATATGTCAACACAGGTGAAAACTCTTATTCGTGAATTGGAAATCGCCCACGGGACGGTTATTCGCTCTGACAACTCTGAGTGTAGTGCATCGTTCCCGGAGAAATGATCCTGACCTTGATGCCCAACTACTGGAAGAACTCAGATTATTTTCAACGCGGCCGAATACTCTCATCGTTTGGGAATTTTAATGCACCTCACATCGACTGGAGCTCGGCCTCAGTCAACTGCTCTGAAACAGCATTCAGCCAGCAGATACTACGTGCCTCCGACAATCTGTTTCTCATCCAACGCGTAATGTTTTTCCACGAATTTTCGAGAGGGCCAACAAATGAACTGCCTCGATCTTGTGTTCACCAAGTCGTCTGACAACATCGACATTGTGAATTACCCCTCCCCGTTGGGTCAGAGGGACCATGTAGTTCTCATGTGGGAATGCATTTTATTCTCCCCGCATGCGCAATAGCTCGATTCTCGACCTATTATTTGGCACGGCGATTTCGAGCAGCTGAAGAAAGATCTTCGTCCTATCTACTGGGCATCTACTCTCTCTGGCGATATCGAAGAGGTTTGGTGTCAGTTCAAAGAGATAGTCCACAGCCTCATCTCCACCCACTGCCCATTCATTCGCAGAAGACTAACGAATAGACCTCGCTGGCTGACTCCGTCCATAAAGAAGGAAGTTAACACGAAGAGGAAGCCATGAAAAGGATCCCTGATTGACCGGACACCACAATCCCTAAGCAGTTATAAGTTACAGAGAAATTGGGTCAGAATTCTCATCGCCGGAGTTAGGAAAGCCTTTGAAAACGATCTTTTGAACAGTGCCATGCTTGATCCCAAAGTCCTTTACAGCTAAAAAAGAAAAAGTACACGGAACAAAGATCCCATCCCACTGCTGCGAACGACCGAGGGGATGGAAGTCTCAGATGACAAGGATAAGGCTGAACATCTCTCTCAGTTCTTCTGGTCCGTCGTGACAAGTGAACCTGATTTTTTTTATCCACTTACGTAGACGAAGAAACGCCTACCCTCGAAGATGTCTTCTTTACCGAAACAATTGTTCGGAATGAGTTACTAAGCCTGAAGGAATCGAACTCTCCAGGCCCTGATGCATTTCCGGCCAAGCTGCTGAGGGAGCCGCCCCAAATCTTAAGCCGTGTTCTTCCAAACGTTATTTTTTACTGGGTACCTGCCATCTGATTGGACGTCCGCTAGCATCACTCCGCTTTTTAAGGATGGAAATCGTGTGTCTGCGAATAACTTCAGGTCAGTGAGTCTTACCATCATCTGCTGCAAAATCATGGAGAAGATCATTGAAAAGGCCTTGATGCAGTTCCTCGTGCAGCACCACCTCCTCTGCGATGCCCAACACGGCTTTCGAAGTGGAAGGTCTTGTCTCACGAATCAGCTATTTACGCTCGAACGCTGGACCAAACCATGCGATAAAGGCAATGTAGTGCACGCCATCTTCACTGACTTCAAAAAGGCCTTCGATAGCGTTCCTCACCAAAGTCTCCTGCACAAGCTGCGCAACACTGGAATTTGTGGCGCCTCCGTGTATGGATCAAGAGCTTTTTGACAGGACGGTCCCAAAGACTGCAGGTCAGGCGTCTCAGAGGTAAGCGTGATGAGTGGCGTCCCACAGGGCTCAGTCTTAGACCCCACGTTATTCCTTGTTTTCATAAATGACTGTGTCAATGACCTAGACTGTGATGTCATCCTGTTTGTCGACGACATAAAATCGTGGAAAGTTATTCACGATGCGCAGGCGCAGACCACCTGCAAACAAGCTTGAACATGCTCGACGACTGATCGAAACGCTGGCTTATGCCCTTCAGTATATGCAGGTGCAACTTTATTCAACTCGGCAGCTTTGGAGTCTTTAGCCCCAGGACTTACTTTCTACACGGCACACCACTGAAGCAGGTTGACAGTCAGAAGGGCTTGGGTGTATGGATTACATCTTCACTCAAACCAACACTGTGCTACGCCAAAACGGCTAATTGGGCTACGGCTGAATTGCAACTCATTAAGCGAGCTTTTATGGCATTTGACCCAGACAGCTTTTCAAAAATATTTGGCACCTACGTGAGGCCTCATCTAGAATACGCCATACAGTCGTGGAGACCTTGGACTGCCAAGGACTATACCGTCTTGGAGAAGGTCCAGAGACGGGCGACCAAAATGACACAAGGTATGTGAGCACTGCCCTATGAAATCAGGCTGTCAGCTCATAACCTGGTTCCCTTTCCTACAGGCAACCACGTGGCGACCTTTTACTAACATTTCGCATTATCAACGGCCTAGACTGTCATTTAGATCCCACTGATTATTTCACTCAAGCTAACACGCCCACT